CTTAAACTAAACATTTTAAATAAAGCTAACTGGAGACCAACCAATATTTCAGGCAGATGATTGCAGGCCTATCACATATAATAATATACTGATGATGATTATAATGTAGACTATGCACTAAAAAAAATTATTTTTAAAAAATAACACATTTCGTCTTTTTAGCACATTTAAATTTAATGAACGTGGATATCGGCGGATATTTATATGCACTATGTGCAAAGATGAAAGAGTAAACACTGCCACTGAGTGAATACATGTGGAAATTAGGCATCCTCATTGTGTTTACATTTTCAGAATATCTCTTTTATATAAAAGGCAGAATGTGTGAGATGATAATTTGATATAAAGCTTAATAGTTTAACCTAATACAAAAAGATCCCTAAGAGAATGAATGTATATTAATGTAACGTCCCCTGAAGTGATGGAAAAACCAGTGTGTGTCTTACAGGCCAGCTGTCCTGAGTCGGGGTTCCCAGCACTCTGAGGACACAGCAGAGCTGCTCGATGTCGTTCTCTCCAGGAAACAGAGGAGACGAGTTCAACAGCTCCCCAAAAATACAGCCGACTGCCCTAAAACACACACACAAGCACTCACACACGGACTAAACAGAAAGCTGTGACTTCAGACTGCTGCTGCCCCCTGCTGTTCATCTCTGATCACTGGACCCATTTACACCTGAGCAGGAACTGTGAACACTAACAGAGTGAGTGTACTGAAGCTAAAGCTTACTCTTTCTATGTTACATGGTCCCATGTTACATAGTATGTTAAAGAATAATATATAATAAAATACGCTGATACAGGAAAAGAATACAAGCATGCACAACAGAAACAAAAGCATCCAGGTTTATTGAGTAAAAGCTAAACAGCGGAGGATTCACAGTAGATAATCAAATCAAATCAAATTTATTTGTATTGCACATTTAAAGACCAAAGTACACCAAAGTGCTTTCCAGTAAAACCATGATACAGATAAAATCACAATATAAAATATGAATTACAGATATAAAATAATTACATAATATAAATGCAGAGCCAGGTGAAAAATCACACTAATTAGCCTCGAATGCCTGGTTAAATGTAAATCTATGTAAATCTATGTAATGTAAATCTATATAATGTAATGTAAGCTGTAATGGTCGAACAACAGCAAAAAAATAATAGTGTGGGCGCTACTTTTAGCAGCATTTTCAGGGTTGTACTTACCACAGGTCGACTCCCTCGTCGTACTTTCGGGCTCCGTACAGCAGCTCGGGGGCTCTGTACCATCTAAACACACACAGTGGTCAAATGTAACTGAGCACATTTACTGCACATTACTGATAAAGTACTGATGTCCAGTTGAAAGTGGTGATTATTTTAGAATGAACGGAACCAGCAAGTCACATGACATGGCGACTTTAACATGATTATTATTCACAGGCGTAATGAGCACCTCAAATCTGAATATGTGAATCTGTTCTGTGACACATTTGTTCACCAGTCGAGCTTTAAAGCAAGTCTGAGTGAATATTTAAAGTATCGTCTGACTGCATTTTACATGTAACCACGTGGATTTTTCCCAGCAGCACTAAAGCTAATGCTGTGTTAGTGCTACTTTACTTTATAGAGCCATTTTCTGTATTACATTCAGCCTTTTAGATACTGCATTACTGCATTTTATATACAAAAGTACTTACTTTTAGGTTCATTATATTGCATTTAAATTTTCACTCGAGATCTTTCATTTTACTGTCATTTTTCTATTTAAATGAGCATTTTGCTCTTCGTGTTTTGTACCTCACTGAGTTCTTTTGGTAAGTCATACTGTATTTTATTTGATTAGCTAAAGCTAGCTGCTAAATAAAGTCATATTTACCTGGTGGCCACCTGGTGGCTGTACAGCCTCTCTCCCTGCTCGCTGAATAGCCGGGCCAGACCAAAGTCTGCAATCTTCAGGTGGCCTGAGGAGCTGATGAGCAGGTTTGCTGGTTTCAGATCCTGCAAACACACAAACGTCACTTTATAATGGTTTGATTTATTTTGTTAAAGCAAAAGAAACCCAAACTCTCCACATATTTCACATATTTTCAGCTTTTCATTTATTATGAATAACCAACAGTATTTAAATATCCTTGTATGTTTAAGTGTTGCTTGTTACAAACGCAGGATTCACTGAGAAAACAGTCAGATGACTCATTAATGATAATAACTGTTAGCTGCGCTCACCCGGTGCATGACATTGTTGTGATGCAGGAAAGCCACGCCCTTCAGCAGCATCATCATGTAACTTTTGACCTGCGCAGGGGTCAGAGGGCGCTGGGAATTCCTGATGACCTCAGAGAGGTCAGACAGCATGAAGTCGAACACCAGGACGAAGCCCGTGCCGTGAGGAAAGACGTCCTTCAGCTTCACCACCTGAGGAGGAAGTCACAGAAAGAAGTCCTGCATCCCTTCAGACTCCAGACACTCTGCAGCTTCTTATAATTTTCTCATATAGCCTAATCTCCTTTTTATTAACATGTCTGTTATGCTCGGCTCTGTTCTTGCTGCTCTGCTTTGATTGTCTATGTTTTCCATGTACGAATTTTTGGTTTCTGTTATATCTTGTTTGTGATATCCCCCCAGCCACCAGGGGAGCTGGAGTGTATCCCAGCTACCATAGGTACACCCTGGACAGTCTGTTGCAGGGCTAACACATAGAGGCAGACAACTATTTGTACTCACATTCACACCTATGGGCAATTTAGAATTACCAATTAACCTAACCCCACTAACTGCATGTTTCTGGACTGTGGGAGGAAGCCAGTGTACCCGGAGAGAACCCAGGGAGAACACGCAACCTCCACACAGAAGGGACTCATACTCAGGACCTTTTTGCTGTGAGGCAGCAGTGCTACCCACCGCACCGCTAAACACTAATCAAATTTTAAGATTAAAATGACTCTTATCTGTAAAAACTCTCTGCACATTCACTCACATGCTCGTTGTCCTTGATCTCCTGCAGTGCTTTAATCTCCCTCAGAGCCTGGTTCGGAATGCCGTCTTCCAGCCTCCTCAGAGCCACTTTCTTCAGAGCCACCGTCTCCCCTGTCTAACACACAAGAGCATTTCCATGTCACATTTCTAAACCGCTGAGGTTAGACTCCAAATTTAATGCTGATCGGATTACACAAAGAAAAGGGGGGGAAAGAAATGAGGTAAGATGCAGACATAAAAGCACCAGTCCGTCACCTCAATATGTTTGGCCTTGAAGACTATGCCATGAGCTCCTTCTCCTGTCCGACCCAGAATATTGTACTGCTCCATGTTTTCATGAGCGTGTAAAACATCTTCAGTTAATCTTGATTTAATCTGGTCACAACTCTCACTGATTTTTTTTTTTTTAATTCAAAGAGTGGTTTGAAGTCAAACCCCCCAAATATGTGTAAACATTAGCTCCTTGGAGCAGAAAACCAGAGAGAGGAACGCCAACCTCGAACTTCACTCATAAATTAAGCTGTTCACGATGCTGCGCACGTTTTCTCAATAAGATATAGTTATTAAACTATTATCTTAAGCCCAGTAAAAGTTGAAACCGTTAACTTACATTCGGCTTGTATTACATATGCAACAACAAACAGCTGTAAAGAAAAGTCTCTCAGAAAATAAATCCTGAGACAGCTAGCTGTTGGCTAACGTTGCCTTGGCAACGTCTTAACTCCGATTACCCAGCTAAAATTTTAAAACTTGTTACTGTTTAACTTCTGCTCCCGGATTGACACGCACGCTTGTTAAGAAAGAAACTACAAAAACGACGATATGTAATTTTTTAATACGCATTTTCATTTAGGACGTTTTAATAATTGTTTCGTGTTACAGTAGCTAGCTACAGATCCGCCCGTGGTCTGCCATGTTTGTTTACAGTGACGTCATGAGACAGGACCACCATAGAGCCAGAGCAGGTAGAAAGCATTAGACAGAAACAATGTTTTATTTTATTTTATTTTTGATTCCTTTTTGTTGTTCTTGTTCGCTGTTTCATTTTTTTAACGTACAAACTAAACAATTTGACGTGAACATTTCATTCGATTAATGATTAAAAAGCAATTTTGTTTTTCACCCTAGTTTATAAAGCATGTCTTTTGAACTGTATAGAGATGTACTTGATGTGTCTAAAATTTAAAATCTGCTCAGGCAAATCCTTCTAATTTCCCTGACCGACAGACAGACTTTTTTTAATCCAATTGGGAAATTCTTTTTTACAGCAGCACGATAAAGAATAAAAATTATTCACTCCGTACTGGTATTGTACATAACGAAAAAGGCTTTCTATTCTAGTATATTAAAGTATATTAAAAAAAATAAAGTAAGGCTTTTTTTGAAATTCCGAATTTATGCTATCATTAGTTGACAAGCGTTTGCTGTCGTTTTGTCTTTTCTGTTCTCACAAAATCTATTCTTTGGGTTTCTTTGGAAACCCGGAAGTACTTGTTCACAGTTTCTTCCCATCCGGTGTAGAGTGGCGTGTTTACGTCCTGTGTTAAGCATGCTAGCCGGAGAGTTTGGTGTCCAGAAACATTAACGTTTACGACAGAGAAATCGGGTAGTTGGCAGCTGGACTTTATCTGCAGCTCAACCGGATGTTTTTTCTGTTGTTTGTAGCTTCTTTAAAAGAGAAGACAGTGAAGAAATGTCTGCTCCCGACAATGCCACAGCTAGACCTAACGTGGACCAGAAGGTGCTGCAGTATGAAACCTTCATCAATGAAGTCCTGAAGAGAGACTTACAGTAAGAAGACACTACCGCTGATATCTGAACACAGTTTATTATGTCCGTACAGAAAGCTTTATTCAGTTACAGAACTTTAAAAACTAAAGTAAAAGAAATGTAATCTGTAGTTAAAGTAGTGCAAAATACTTGTGTAGATAGATAGATGTAGATATGAACTCAGATTTTTATCCTGGCAGACTTTGAGCAGGTAGTAGAGGCGATATGAAGGTCAATGAGGAGTGACTACAAATTAAAGTAATTTAAAGCTTAATTAACAGCCTAATAAATGTCAAGTCTCACAGCTGCTGATTGTATAATAGGGCTGGTGTCATTTTTGGTCCCCCTCTGTGCCTTAATTACTTGACATATCTGAAGTATACTAGGGTCATTTTGTCCCCTTTATTACTTCAATATAAACTTACACTCACAGGTCACTTTATTAGGAATACCTGCTCAACCCAAATATCTCATCAGCGATTCATATGCCAGCAAATCAATGCATTTAGGCATGTAGACGTTGTCAAGACAGCCTTTGCGTGCAATGTGTTTTTAATACAGTGGGATTGTCATACATGTCACTGCTGTGCCAGCACTGCAACAACTGGGTCAACAAACCAGACAGAACTGGAGCGTTTTGACCACACTAAGAGGAAACATCTCAAATACCATACTGCTTCACATTCTGCAGCCTGTACTGCAGAGCAGAGCTCAGCATGAGCTAACAAAGTGCGAAGCACATCCAGTTATGTTAATTTACAGCTTTATATTGTTATTCTTGCACACTATGACACTAGAGTAGCTTTGCATGATTCATAGTAATCATGCAAAGCTACTTATTATTACTAAAATAATTTTTTTTTGCCTTTGACATGTGGGTGGGCTATATTGGGGATATCTCTTCTCAATGACATCATACAGATTCAAGACTTGGAAAAGTATTTAGAGGAATCTAAGGCCTTAGCCTTTGGTTCACATGGGTTACTTGTACATGCACAGACCTGACTGGTTGTGTTTAATGTGAACACTGAGAATTTTATTAGGGTGTAAGAAAAGAAATACAGAAATTACTTTGTACAGTTACAGAACAAAATGGTGCAAAAATCTAAAAACTACGCGTAAGAAGGAGCTCAGTTATATAGAAGGGATACAATAATGAGCTTGAATCTGTTGTAAGTACACATGTGTGATGGATAAGAAGGGTAGATCTAATCTTACAGGTATTTATGTGGTTCTTCAGGTTGGCATCTGACTGTTTGGTGACACAGACTAAAGAGCTCAGGTGTCTGAAATGCTGTTTGGTGCTTTGAATCAGATTTTCTTGGCGTGTTTAGGCTGTTTGAATTATTTTGGTCCATCTGAAGGCGTTAATGTTCTCTGTAAATCAAGTGACGGCTGTCGTTTGGCAGGAAGGTGGTGGAGCAGAGGGATCAGGTTTATGAGAAGATCTCTCAGTACCTGCAGCTGAAGAACACCATACAGAGTCTGCAGGTAAACGCACACAAAATGTATTGTGTTATTTTGAAGGCCTGTAGGTTTTTCAGTTTAGAAAAGAAGAGATTTCCACATTAAACTGGAGATCGTTGTAGTGATTCCCAAGTGTTTGTGCTGGCTGTCATTCTCTGTTAATGTTAAACGCTTCAGTCTGCTGGTTAATGAGCTGCAGACTAAACTCTGCTGATACAGACATCTCTCTCTGTAGCTTCTCTGTGTGAGCTGTTTCTGTAATTCAGCACACTCTTCTGTGAGGAAAGGTGGAGGAGCTTATCGCACCTCCATCAATACAGCTGAGCCTCACTGCAGCTGTTTATCCAGCAGATCAATACGTGTGGCTCATTAGGCTGTGAACCCAAACCTCCATCGTCTGGATCAAAGAGCCTGAAACTACAGCTGGAAAAAAAACATTCAGACATTTTACCTCCACTTTTCAGATATTTCAAAAGATAATTTTTTATTTGTTTTTATTTTATTTAGAGGATAGAAGTTTTAATTTTAGTTTTCAGATATTTTTAAAATAATTTTCATAATCATTATGTCTGTGTAGGTTTTCAGTCATCGGGTCATGGCAATCTAAGGAGCTTGGAAAGAAAAGCGACTCAACTTCTTTAAGTTTCTTGAAGACGTTTCATCCAAGAAGCTTCTTCAGTTCTAAAACCAAACAGTGGAGTCCCAGGTATTTAAGTCCTAGTGGAGTTGTCAAGGTCGTGACCGATATTGATCCGTCCGTGCTCATCACACACCTTGCTATCATGCGATAGAATATTTTAACTCTCCACTATTTGGTCTTAGAACTGAAGAAGCTTTCCAGATGAAACGTCTTCAGTCGCTTTTCTTTCCAAGCTCCTTACATATTCACTGATATATTTTTCTGCGGAAACCCGTCCAAACAAGCCAAACTCATTCAGTCTCTTTTCTAACTGTCATGTCATGAACTTTAACCTCTAACATGCTAACTGAGGCCTGTAGATGCTGAGATGAGTACTTTTTTCCTCTGAGCTTGGGCCGCCTGTTCCACGAGTGAATGAAAGTCACACTCTTCTTTGTGTTCCTGCAGGAGGCGGGCTCTCAGCAGCTGAAGACTGACGTTGATCTTGGCTGTAACTTCTACGTTCAGGCTGAAGTGTGAGTTGCTGACACACGAAGGTCATCAGCAGCTGTTCTGCATTCAAACAGGCACAGCTGCA